AAAAAAAAAAAAAAAGAAAAAAAGAAATGATGCTGCAAAAGCAGCATTCAACCAAAAAAATTATTTTCAGGGATCCCTCCCCAGGTCCTCCCTGTCACCCTCCAGGGACAACTGACCTCCCTCCGGTCCCCTGCCCGGCTCTCCGAAGCACCCAGGGTGCCGGTGACGATCTCGGGAGCGGCAGGAGGTTGTGTTTGGTGAGAAAAAGCTGGATTTGAGGGCAGAGGGGAGATAAGACATTAAAAATCTTCCTCTGCGATCACACCCTCCCCACGTCCACCCCAAACTGGCTTTTGCCTGCGCGGGTTCCACCTCTGCGGGCGCACGGAGACGGAGCAGCCAGAGCCATGTTAGTGCCACCCCGTCCCCCCAAAATCCAGCCTTCCCCCCTCAAAGTCACGCCATCAGCTGCAAAAAAGCAGAAAAAATATAAAAATAAAATTCCTCCGACGGCCAAAGCTGCCCCACCCTCAAGTCTCAGCACCTGAAATCGTTTGTAAAAATAGGTCTCGAAATACAAAAAGAAAAAAAAAAAAAAAGGCAAGTGTGCTTCTGAACATTTCTATTGCGCGTTGGTCCGTGGATGGTGTTTGATCAAAAAAACGAGACAGAGTTCGTTTGCTGCGTCGTTGAGCGAAGCCCTGGGCAGGTCGGCGCCCGCCGCGGCGGATCCGGGCACTTCCCATCCCACCGCGCGAGGAAGCGGCTTTCGGCACGCCGTCGGCATCATAAGAGCTTGCGATGGAGGATTTCCCAGGCCATTCGCTTGCGGAAATAGGGCATGTGTTGCTTTGGGGGGGAGAAAAGGGAAAAAGAAGAAAAAAAAAAAAAACCAAAAGTCAGTGTGTCCTTTGGTGCTGGGGAATTTATGGAGCTCTCCTGGGTGCGGAGTTTTAAGTGGTGTCTTTTTTTTGGGGGGGAAAGAAAAATAAATCTAATTTCTGATTATTGAAAGCAGGACAGGGGATGAGATCTAGGTGATAACGTGACGCTGATGATGTTCTCGAATAATTAAATATTCACGCGTGGGATGTTCCACGGGGGCTGACGACGTTAAGGAACGCGGAAATTCCCGGGGATTTGGGCTCCAACGTCCCCCTTTCATTCCCGTTACGGGTTTGGGAGCTGTCCCCTTTTTTTTTCTGCACCGGTGACGCGCCCGGTGGATTTGGGGACCACAGGAGACGCGAGGATGGCTTTAGAGGAAAAATTTTTGCGTGGTGTAAAGAACCGCTGTGGTTATCTCGGGTCAGCTCTGCTTCAAGGAGCAGCAGCACGATCCCCGCGCGGGCGTGCTTGAAACCCACCGAGAAGGAAGGAAAGGATATTTGGGAAAAAAAAAAAAAAACAACTTTGGAATACACGCAAGCCAGCGCCACGCGTCCGCCCCTCGCGAGCCCGGGGGACGCGCCGGGGCGGGTTTACCTGGGTGAAGTTGATGGGTTTGTCTTTGGTGATGCAGTCGTTCTGCCATTCATCTGCTGCGGGATCTCCTGGGAGGGGAAGGACACGAAAGGCAAACGTCATTTCCAGGGGAGCCAGAAGCCTTCGAAGCTTCTCAGGATGAAGAGATCCAAGGAAAGGACCTCGGGGAAGGTGTCCCTGCCCATCGATGGGCTTTGAGATCCCTTCCAACCCCCAAAATTCGGTGATTCCGTGATTCCACGGCCACTCTTGAGACAACAGCAACGTGAGGGGCTGGAGCGGGTCCAGAGAAGGGCGACGGAGCTGGAGCACAGGGCTGCCGAGGAGCGGCCGGGGGAGCTGGGGGGGGGCAGTCTGGGG